CGGGTTCGAAACGAACTTCGATCGGGTTCGAAACGAACTTCGATCGGGTTCGAAACGAACTTCGATCGGGTTCGATTCGGGTTCGAAACGAACTTCGATCGGGTTCGATTCGGGTTCGAAACAAACTTCGATCGGGTTCATTTTGGGGGGATCGTCGCTTCGTCTTTCACTACGCGGTCAGTCGTTAGGTAGGAGCATTCCTTGCATCTTAAACCGGTACTTAATCTTGTGTGCTGGTTTGTGACGCACTTCGTGACGCACCGACGCTTGTGACGCACCTGTCCTACCCTAAAGACCCACCGACGTTTAACATGTACAACATTTTTGTCATGAATAATTTTGTTGTAAGCAGGTTAGTTTATTATGTTCCATCATACATTTACTGGGAGTGATTTTATATTCCCTCAAGTCCCAGCTACGTTAATACCAGGGGCCACCTGGTCTCCTGGGGGGCCACCTGGTCTCCTGGGGGGCCACCTGGTCTCCTGGGGGGCCACCTGGTCTCCTGGGGGGCCACCTGGTCTCCTGGGGGGCCACCTGGTCTCCTGGGGGGGGCCACCTGGTCTCCTGGGGGGCCACCTGGTCTCCTGGGGGGGGCCACCTGGTCACCCGGGGGGCCACCTGGTCTCCTGGGGGGCCACCTGGTCTCCTGGGGGGCCACCTGGTCACCTGGGGGGGGCCACCTGGTCACCTGGGGGGGCCACCTGGTCACCTGGGGGGCCACCTGGTCTCCAGGGGGGCCACCTGGTCTCCTGGGGAGGCCACCTGGTCTCCTGAGGAGGCCACCTGGTCTCCTGGGGGGCCACCTGGTCTCCTGGGGGGGCCACCTGGTCTCCTGGGGTGCCACCTGGTCTCCTGGGGGGGCCACCTGGTCTCCTGGGGGGCCACCTTGTCACCTGGGGGGCCACCTGGTCTCCTGGGGGGGGCCACCTGGTCACCTGGGGGGCCACCTGGTCACCTGGGGGGGCCACCTGGTCACCTGGGGGGGCCACCTGGTCACCTGGGGGGGCCACCTGGTCACCTGGGGGGGGCCACCTGGTCTCCTGGGGGGCCACCTGGTCACCTGGGGGGGCCACCTGGTCACCTGGGGGGGCCACCTGGTCACCTGGGGGGGCCACCTGGTCTCCTGGGGGGCCACCTGGTCTCCTGGGGGGCCACCTGGTCTCCTTGGGGGTCACCTGGGGGGCCACCTGGTCACCTGGGGGGCCACCTGGTCACCTGGGGGGGCCACCTGGTCACCTGGGGGGGCCACCTGGTCACCTGGGGGGGCCACCTGGTCTCCTGGGGGGCCACCTGGTCACCTGGGGGGGCCACCTGGGGGGGCCACCTGGTCACCTGGGGGGGCCACCTGGTCTCCTGGGGGGCCACCTGGTCTCCTGGGGGGCCACCTGGTCTCCTTGGGGGTCACCTGGGGGGGCCACCTGGTCACCTGGGGGGGCCACCTGGTCACCTGGTCTCCTGGGGGGCCACCTGGTCTCCTGGGGGGCCACCTGGTCTCCTGGGGGGCCACCTGGTCTCCTGGGGGGGCCACCTGGTCACCTGGGGGGCCACCTGGTCTCCTGGGGGGGCCACCTGGTCTCCTGGGGGGCCACCTGGTCTCCTGGGGGGGCCACCTGGTCTCCTGGGGGGACCACCTGGTCTCCTGGGGGGCCACCTGGTCTCCTGGGTGGCCACCTGGTTTCCTGGGGGGCCACCTGGTCTCCTGGGGGGCCACCTGGTCTCCTGGGGGGGGCCACTTGCTCTCCTGGGGGGGCCACTTGCTCTCCTGGGGGGGCCCATTTGGTCTCCTGGGAGGGCCACCTGTTCTCCTGGGAGGGCCACCTGTTCTCCTGGGGGGGGCACCTGTTCTCCTGGGGGGGCCACCTGGTCTCCTGGGGTTGCCACCTGGTCTCCTGGGGGGCCACCTGGTCTCCTGGGGGCCACCTGGTCTCCTGGGGAGGGGCCACCTGGTCTCCTGGGGGGGCCACCTGGTCTCCTGGGGGGGGCCACCTGGTCTCCTGGGGGGGGGCCACCTGGTCTCCTGGGGGGCCACCTGGAGGCCGGAACTGCCGCCTCAAGCACTACTGCTAGTTACTGCCCTGTTCCCTTGGATTGTTAGCAGCACTAACTACCCCCCTCCGTCCTGGACCATTACCCAGGCTGGTCCTGATCCTCTGGTGAAGGAGTTAGATGCTGGTGGCCATCTTGGTGGTGGGGGGGGGGGGTGTTTACCTATCAGTTGTTATATATCAGTCCGAGGAAGCGAGGTCTAGCTCTATATGCTCCGCCTACTGGCCTTGTTACCGTACCTGTTGGGTTATAGTTGAACTATTGTGACGTTGGAATTCTTAGTCGATTCTGGCCTTCAAGTTGTGGATGGAGGTGGCTTCCACAACTTCTTCCTTCCGTGCATTCTTCTGGTTGACCTCCCGTACAAGGTACGAGTATTTCCTTCCTTCCTTTTTATTTCTTCGAATCATTTGCATTTCCAGTTTCCACTTAAAGTCCTCTAGCTCTCCTTTCACTTTAAAGAGGCTGTCCTTATCCACCTTGTTCAAATCGCCTCTCTACCTTCTATGTTGCGATCATGTCCCCTACTGTTTCTTCTCCTCTCCAAGGTTGTGAGGTCTGTTACCCTTAATCTATTCTCATAGTTTAGCCCTCTTTAGCTCCGACACTAATTTGGCTGCAAACCTTGTATTGTTTTCAATTTTAGATTTATGTCTCGTAAGGTGTGGATTCCAGGCCGGTGCTGCATATTCCAATATTGGTCTAACGAGGGTGTTGATTAACGATTGATTGATTAACGGGTGTTGATTAACGATTGTGTTGAAAGAGCGATGGTGGCACTAACTGGCTGATAGTGTAGTGATGCCATCCCCCCCTCCCCCGGGGCCAGGACTGATGCCACCCCCCCCCCAGGCGCCAGGAGTGATGGAGGCACCTCGCACCACCGGCGCCCCTCATCGTCAAGAGATGACATCAACCCCGGGCGACAAAGCACCAGTAACTAGTCGCCGGAATGCCGTGATTTCTCGAGGAAGCGTTGATGAATGTCTCCCTCTCCCCCCTCCCCCCTCCCTGGCGGGCATTAGCCAAATTACCTCCATAACCAACATTCGCCCGGCGCACAGGCCTCCTTCACGGAGCGCGCGCTCAACACTCAACAAACTATAGGCACAACAGCGGCTGCTGTGAGCGAGTCAGGATCATACTTTGGCACCATCTGTGTTACATCATGCCGGGTGCTCGCTCCTTCGGTAACCCCCCCAGCTGGTGCAAGTTCATTATAACGGTTGTGAGGAGGGAGAGAGTGACGCAGCTGGTGCTGGTGACGATATTGGGAGTGAGGGGGGGTTGGGGGGGGGGTATGGGGGGGGAGACATGTTACCGGCGTCAGGAAGGCTAATTTCAGTGAAAGGTTTGATGGTGGTGCCTGAGGAGGAGATGTTGGTGATGCAGCCTAGCAGGGAGCGCCTCGCTGCCATGAGGTATAGGGCCACACCTCACACGCATGAGGTATAGGGCCACACCTCACACGCATGAGGTATAGGGCCACACCTCACACGCTTGAGGTATAGGGCCACACCTCACACGCATGAGGTATAGGGCCACACCTCACACGCATGAGGTATAGGGCCACGCCACACGCATGAGGTATAGGGCCACACCTCACACGCATGAGGTATAGGGCCACACCTCACACGCATGAGGTATAGGGCCACGCCACACGCATGAGGTATAGGGCCACACCTCATTGAGCTCACTTACAAGACAGCTTAGCATGGGTTCACTTCATACTCGTAAGACGGGGCTCACTTCAGACACACATGAGGTAAGACTCTAGGGCTCACCTCAGCAGCCTTTCCTCATAAACAAAAGATAAACGCTCGTTAATCTAGCATTCAAACAACCCTCCCCGGCTGTTTATTGAAGAAAAACACATCAAACACAACACTTCTACTGATAACGCACTAACATTTCTCCAGTAGAGCTTCCCTGAGGCCCCTTTGTTCATCTCGTCCTCAGTTTTTGACCATTCCATCCAGCGGTCGACCTCCAAAGAAGCATGCATCAATTTTAACATTCTGTTCATTCAAAATAGAACTATTATCAAATATAAACTAATATTGTTATATATATATTAACATATTTAGGCATTGGTTAGGTGTTTAGGTTCGTTTGGCGGATATTTGTATGTGTAGTACGTGGGTGAAGCAGTTATAGCGTTGTGGTTTGACTGTAACTTGCTTAGCTAAATTAATTTTGGGGTTCAGTCCCCTGAAGCCATTATGTGCCTCTGTAACCCCCCTTCTACTACCGCCCACAGGATGGGTATGGGGTGCATAATAAATATACTTTTACTAACACCGGTTCTTAGTATAGTTCAAGTTGAAGTAAAAGTAGTAACAGTGAGAGTTGAGTAAAATTACATTCTCATTACATCCTTCAGTAACATTACAGATGATAATGTTGTTTAAAATATACTTGAATTAAATATTATATATATTTTTATATTTTAAATATAAAAAATATTTTTAGCAATGTATATTGGTTGATCGCATCGATATGTGCATTGATATTTACACATGATAATACATATATATATTTATGCCAAACATGCCATATATGTGACACGTATTAATCAATATATTGATATATTTATCAGTACACACATAATAAGCAGTAACTGATAATGTACTATTAAACCTTTACTATGAGAGGGATTGGTGATTAATACGTAATCAAAGAAACGGCGCCCCGCCTGGCAGTCCTCCGTGATGAATAACCCACCAATAACCTCCACTTGGTCGGAATCTGGAGGCTGGTCGGAGGGACGGGCTGGTCGAGCGGACGGGCTGGTCGGGCGGACGAGCTGGTCGGGCGGACAAGCTGGTCGGGCGGACGAGCTGGTCAAGCGGACGAGCTGGTCGGGCGGAAGGGCTTAGTCCATCCCTTATTCGACGAGCTGGTCGTCGACTTAAGGGATCGTGTGCGCAATATGCGCGAGGTACAATTACCGCGCCGGGCAATAATTCCAGGCATTTCGCGGTGACGCTCTTCGGGAGAGACATTGGGGGACGCTCTTCGGGAGAGACATTGGGGAACGCTCTTCGGGAGAGACATTGGGGAACTCTCTTCGGGAGAGACATTGGGGACGTTCTTCGGGAGAGACATTGGGGACTCTCTTCGGGAGAGACATTGGGGACTCTCTTCGGGAGAGACATTGGGGGACGCTCTTCGGGAGAGACATTGGGGGACGCTCTTCGGGAGAGACATTGGGGGACTCTCTTCGGGAGAGACATTGGGGAACGCTCTTCGGGAGAGACATTGGGGGACGCTCTTCGGGAGAGACATTGGGGACGTTCTTAGGGAGAGACATTGGGGACTCTCTTCGGGAGAGACATTGGGCAACGCTCTTCGGGAGAGACATTGGGGGACGGTCTTCGGGAGAGACATTGGGGGACTCTCTTCGGGAGAGACATTGGGGACGTTCTTCGGGAGAGACATTGGGGACTCTCTTCGAGAGAGACATTGGGGACTCTCTTCGGGAGAGACATTGGGGACTCTCTTCGGGAGAGACATTGGGGGACGCTCTTCGGGAGAGACATTGGGGGACGCTCTTCGGGAGAGACATTGGGGGACTCTCTTCGGGAGAGACATTGGGGGACTCTCTTCGGGAGAGACATTGGGGACTCTCTTCGGGAGAGACATTGGGGGACTCTCTTCGGGAGAGACATTGGGGGACGCTCTTCGGGAGAGACATTGGGGGACGCTCTTCGGGAGAGACATTGAGGACGCTCTTCGGGAGAGACATTGAGGACGCTCTTCGGGAGAGACATTGAGGACGCTCTTCGCGAGAGACATTGGGGGACGCTCTTCGGGAGAGACATTGAGGACGCTCTTCGGGAGAGACATTGGGGGACGCTCTTCGGGAGAGACATTGGGGGACGCTCTTCGGGAGAGACATTGAGGACGCTCTTCGGGAGAGACATTGAGGACGCTCTTCGGGAGAGACATTGGGGACGCTCTTCGGGAGAGACATTGAGGACGCTCTTCGGGAGAGACATTGGGGGACGGTCTTCGGGAGAGACATTGGGGGACGGTCTTCGGGAGAGACATTGAGGACGCTCTTCGGGAGAGACATTGGGGACGCTCTTCGGGAGAGACATTGGTGCAGAAGGATCACATGAAGACCCGAGCGGTGACTCTCACCACCGCGGATGTCATACGCCTGGGGTGCCTGCGGTGTATAGTACCTGGAGCTTACCTGTAGAGGGTCTCGCGAGTTGTTCTACTCCCCGATCCCCGGCCTGAGGCCAGCCTTACACCTAGTAGTGTGTGTGTGGTGGGGGGGGGGGGGAAATCGAACCCTGATTTGGTGTCAACTGGAGGCCTCGGGAACCCTCGAGGATTTCCGAAACAGAAAACTCGACAATAAAAATTCGAGTTTTTCGTTGATGTTTCCCATCGTCTTAAAGCGCCTCAGTTTGTACACATTATGGGACTAACAAGCATTACTAGGTAGCACAGTCTAGATTCATTACGTTTATGGGTACCAAGAAAACACTACAAATTAAACGCTTCTCAACCCGTTAGAATAGGCCCGGTCTCTCGGCTATATAGTCGTAATGACTTGGTACTTTCTCCTGATAGTTCCTCCTTCTCGGTTGACTACTCCGTACAAAAAGCAACTGTTTTGTCTAACTGGAAACGTACGAACCCAATCAACCCCCTTAACGTATCTCAGCCGCTGCCTAGTAAAGGTTAATATTACGTTGCTTTTATTTGTATTTATAAATTGTTAACGGAATGGTCGATTAAGAACTGCGACGCGTTAAGTGGGAGGACAGGGCGGTACAGAGAGAGGATGGGTCCCAAGACTGTCCCATCATCCCATCCCATCCCAATATTATTCACCTAGTTAGCTTTTTTGACACACTGTACTCCACTTCATATAGTCTAGGGTAGCTGCACTAATGCAGATGTACGTCATATCTTAATAAAAAAAAAAAAAATATTATCACTATCACCACATGCAACCCGTTCTCGCAAATTCGTAAAGTCAATATTGACTTATTAACTACGTGCATAGGTGATATACTAAACATAATAGATACCCTTAAAAAGATTCATAGAAAACACCGACCTTACCTAACCTTGTTAGTATCTTAAGATAAGCATCTTATTGCTTCGTAATTACAATTATTACTTAACCTATACCTATAATAGGTTAGGTAATAATTGTAATTACGAAGCAATAAGATGCTTATCTTAACATACTAAGTAGGTTAGGTAAGGTCGGTGTTTTCTATGAATCTTTTTAAGGGCATCTATTATGTTAAGTATGTCACCTATGCACATATTTAATAAGTCAATATTGACTTATTAAATTTGCGAGAACGGGTTGCAACCCGTTCTCGCAAATTCGTAAAGTCATTATATTGACTTTACGAATTTGCGAGAACGGGTTGCATGTGGTGATAGTGATAATATTTTTTTTTTTTTTATTAAGATATGACGTACATCTGCATTAGTGCAGCTACCCTAGACTATATGAAGTGGAGTACAGTGTGTCAAAAAAGCTAACTAGGTGAATAATATTGGGATGGGATGGGATGATGGGACAGTCTTGGGACCCATCCTCTCTCTGTACCGCCCTGTCCTCCCACTTAACGCGTCGCAGTTCTTAATCGACCATTCCGTTAACAATTTATAAATACAAATAAAAGCAACGTAATATTAACCTTTACTAGGCAGCGGCTGAGATACGTTAAGGGGGTTGATTGGGTTCGTACGTTTCCAGTTAGACAAAACAGTTGCTTTTTGTACGGAGTAGTCAACCGAGAAGGAGGAACTATCAGGAGAAAGTACCAAGTCATTACGACTATATAGCCGAGAGACCGGGCCTATTCTAACGGGTTGAGAAGCGTTTAATTTGTAGTGTTTTCTTGGTACCCATAAACGTAATGAATCTAGACTGTGCTACCTAGTAATGCTTGTTAGTCCCATAATGTGTACAAACTGAGGCGCTTTAAGACGATGGGAAACATCAACGAAAAACTCGAATTTTTATTGTCGAGTTTTCTGTTTCGGAAATCCTCGAGGGTTCCCGAGGCCTCCAGTTGACACCAAATCAGGGTTCGATTTCCCCCCCCCCCCACCACACACACACTACTAGGTGTAAGGCTGGCCTCAGGCCGGGGATCGGGGAGTAGAACAACTCGCGAGACCCTCTACAGGTAAGCTCCAGGTACTATACACCGCAGGCACCCCAGGCGTATGACATCCGCGGTGGTGAGAGTCACCGCTCGGGTCTTCATGTGATCCTTCTGCACCAATGTCTCTCCCGAAGAGCGTCCCCAATGTCTCTCCCGAAGAGCGTCCTCAATGTCTCTCCCGAAGACCGTCCCCCAATGTCTCTCCCGAAGACCGTCCCCCAATGTCTCTCCCGAAGAGCGTCCTCAATGTCTCTCCCGAAGAGCGTCCCCAATGTCTCTCCCGAAGAGCGTCCTCAATGTCTCTCCCGAAGAGCGTCCTCAATGTCTCTCCCGAAGAGCGTCCCCCAATGTCTCTCCCGAAGAGCGTCCCCCAATGTCTCTCCCGAAGAGCGTCCTCAATGTCTCTCCCGAAGAGCGTCCCCCAATGTCTCTCGCGAAGAGCGTCCTCAATGTCTCTCCCGAAGAGCGTCCTCAATGTCTCTCCCGAAGAGCGTCCTCAATGTCTCTCCCGAAGAGCGTCCCCCAATGTCTCTCCCGAAGAGCGTCCCCCAATGTCTCTCCCGAAGAGAGTCCCCCAATGTCTCTCCCGAAGAGAGTCCCCAATGTCTCTCCCGAAGAGAGTCCCCCAATGTCTCTCCCGAAGAGAGTCCCCCAATGTTAAATGAAAAACAGGCAAGTGTTATCGGATAAAGGTTATCACTAGTGTTATCACAATGACGAAAATGACAAGTTAAAGGGAAAGAGATGTTGGGATGGTGATGCTGGTGTGGTGTATGCAACCCGTTCTCGCAAATTCGTAAAGTCAATATTGACTTATTAACTACGTGCATAGGTGATATACTAAACATAATAGATACCCTTAAAAAGATTCATAGAAAACACCGACCTTACCTAACCTTGTTAGTATCTTAAGATAAGCATCTTATTGCTTCGTAATTACAATTATTACTTAACCTATACCTATAATAAGTTAGGTAATAATTGTAATTACGAAGCAATAAGATGCTTATCTTAACATACTAAGTAGGTTAGGTAAGGTCGGTGTTTTCTATGAATCTTTTTAAGGGCATACACCCAACCCGTTCTCGCAAATTTAATAAGTCAATATTGACTTATTAAATATGTGCATAGGTGACATACTTAACATAATAGATGCCCTTAAAAAGATTCATAGAAAACACCGACCTTACCTAACCTACTTAGTATGTTAAGATAAGCATCTTATTGCTTCGTAATTACAATTATTACCTAACTTATTATAGGTATAGGTTAAGTAATAATTGTAATTACGAAGCAATAAGATGCTTATCTTAAGATACTAACAAGGTTAGGTAAGGTCGGTGTTTTCTATGAATCTTTTTAAGGGTATCTATTATGTTTAGTATATCACCTATGCACGTAGTTAATAAGTCAATATTGACTTTACGAATTTGCGAGAACGGGTTGCATACACCACACCAGCATCACCATCCCAACATCTCTTTCCCTTTAACTTGTCATTTTCGTCATTGTGATAACACTAGTGATAACCTTTATCCGATAACACTTGCCTGTTTTTCATTTAATAAATATTGAATTAACGTACGCGCAAGTGTGTGTGTGTGTGTGTGTGTGTGTGTGTGTGTGTGTGTGTGTGTGTGTGTGTGTGTGTGTGTGTGTGTGTGTGTGTAAACCAAGACAAAGAATTCGTCTACATTGCGCATGGGAAAACTCAAGACGGGTGCGTCTGGCCCTCATCTTAGACGTGCGAGAGGCCCCTTATAGATCAGTGCGTCGAATCCGTCTGCGTCGTACGGAACGGAACGATGCGTCGAGTCCGTCTCTCTTGCGTTTCCCGACAAATAATAATAAAATAATACTCGGGGTCTATGATTAACAACGCAATCATATCATTCGCAAAAATTCGCCAACTCTATGTTCAACTTTTTGCATCGAGCATATTTCGTGGACTGTCATCATTATAGTGTCAGATTTTTTATACCGTGTCGTCATCAGGCTTTGAAGAGGCTAGTTTTTGTTTCTGGAGGAGGGGGGGGGGGTTAAGGTGGGGTAAATGGGGCGGAGGGAAAGCTCTGGATTACCTATTTCTTATTTTTTTTCTCCCGCTTCGGTAGACCGCAGAGGCTGAAGGTATTCAAACTACTGTTGCCATACATGATTTCTGTTTTTATTTAGCTCTTCAGTTTCATGTATTTTCTCTCTCTCTCTGTCTTTCTCTTGTGTGTCTCTTCTCTCTTGTATCTCCCTTCTCTCCATTCTTTCTCTCTCTTATCTTTTTTCTTTTCTCTCTCTTTTCTCTATTCTCTCTTGTTTCTGTCTAAGATATTTATCAGTATAAGAAAGAAAATGAGTGATTTATTCGACTTTTTGTGTGCTCGCGCGCTACTGCTCATGGAAATATAACTTACCTAAATGTACTTTCAGAGTCGAGTGCTATTTCCCAAGCCCTGCCCCACCAGGCTGCCTGTTTAATGTAGTGACTTCCAACTCTCCTGTCTCTTGTCGTCTACTTTTGAAGCAGTTTGTGTCTACTCTCTGCCTAGTTTATTCCAGACGCTCATTAATCACGCTAAATGAGTTCTTTGTAGCATCCCCCTGTAGCAGAACAATGGGCAGAGTTTCTTTCACCCTATGCCCCTGTTACCTAGCAGTAAAATAGGTACCTGGGTGTTAGTCAGCTGTCACGGGCTGCTTCCTTGAGGGTGGAGGCCTGGTCGAGGACCGGGCCGCGGGGACACTAAAAAAGCCCCGAAATCATCTCAAGATAACCTTCCCTGCGACTCATCTCCGTCTCAGGTTTCCATCCATGTTCCCTTGCGCTTCTGTACTGCATGTGTCAGTTGTGTTGACCTCATTAATGCCCTCGAGTATCTGATATGTTGGGATCATGTTTTCTCGATTCCGGATCTTTCCAGCTGTGGTGATG